CGCTTTGTTTTGTTTTTTAAAAAAACTGAGAACTTTTAGCAGTCTCGACGTCAGAAAATCTATACAGTAGTTTCAGCGATTTCTCGGCTTTTTTTTCCACCTCTATTTCAGCACTATGGTCATTGTATAGCTACTGTGAAAGGATTCTTAAGCAAAATCATCGTGGTTTAGTAAAACTGGTCACACAGACCATATCACAAAAACTCGCAAAAAATTGGCGAAGAAGAAGCCACCATAAAAAAGTTTTTATTGGCTACGGGAAGGGAGAAAAAAGGAAAGATGTGTACTGCGTTAAAGCAGATATACAAAGAAAGTGCTTCCGGGTTTGTTCTGGAAAATGAGTGCTAATAGTGCGATGAATAACAAGTCATGATTTGAAGAAAATGATCCCTCCGATCCCCTCCCGGTTTCTTTAAAGGAACTCCGTTTCCCACGGATCAGGCAGTGACTGTCGTTGACTGATTTTTATGCGTTTTGTGCTGTGTAACAGCAGTACAAAACGCGTATTGTCACGGGGTTGTCTGGTGTGTTTGTGTTTGTGTGTGTGTGTGTGTGTGTGTGTGTGTGTGTGTGTGTGTCCGCAGCAACTTGCCCGGAACTTTCAACTCGGGAACCACAAAAGGTAGGAAGCTGAAAATTTAAAGGAACGTTCCCCACCCACGTGTGACCCCGCAAATTTGAATTCAGCCTTCCTGTACCCGCGGGCAACACGTACAGTCCCGTGAATATTTTTACGGGTAAATTAATTTCTCGGGAACCACGGGATCTAGGGAGCTGAAATTTTAGGGTAATGACCACCCTGCTCACGCCCAACCTTGTCTATTCAGATTCAGTGTTCCCGCGCTTTTGATTATCACCTACGGCCTCGTGAAAATTTTGGCGGGTAAACTATTAATTCGGGATAAAGATATTCACCCTTCAAGGTTTCGAAATCAGCTTTCATGCGCTGGTGCGTAAAATTTTTAACTGTTTTCCACTGTTTGAAATATTTTTGCATAGACTAAAGTACAGAGCAATGAAAATCATTAATAGGCAATCGTTCGATGGGCTGAATTGCACAAAACGCATGATCGCACC